CCAGACCATCATCTGAATTTCCAGAATGAAAATCTGGATCAGAACTGGTTGTTCTGGTATCAGTTCTATTTGAGGCACTGTGACCAAGTAATTCAGCCTCTAAATTGGCTAAATTATAATGATTTTGCTCCACCTCATTTTGAGTATCATTAGAACCATTAACAGCAGTATTTTCATCATTTAAAGTCTGATTTTGCTTCAAACAGGGCATTTCATTCTCATTAAATGCTACATCTCAACTAACAAAAGTTTTGAAACCTGGTTTAGTGTTTAACTATAGCCTATATCCCTTAACACCCTCGGGATACCCTAGGAACACACACTTCTCAGCCCTAGGTTCAAGTTTATCATTGAAAACACGTATAAAAGCAGAACAACCAAATACTTTCAGGTTTGAAAAATCAATTCTCTTTCCACTCCACCTAAATTCAGGACATTCACCTTTCAAAGGCACTGAAGGTGATCTATTAATCAAATAGGCTGCTGTAAGAACAGCCTCACCCCAAAAGCTCTTGGATAAACCCGAGGAAGCAAGCAAGCTTCGAACTCTTTCTAATAGAGTTCGGTTCATCCTCTCAGCCACCCCATTTTGTTGAGGTGTATAAGGGGCTGTTTTATGTCGCTTTATTCCATTTTCAATGCAAAAGCTATCAAACCAAGTGTTGCAATATTCTAAGCCATTGTCAGTTCTCAAACACTTAATCTTCTTACCCGTTTGATTTTCAATAGAAATTTTTCAATTTTTAAAAATTTCAAACACTTCAGACTTCTGTTTCATTAAAAATACCCAAACTTTCCTTGAAAAATCATCAATTATAGTCAAAAAATATCTTCTACCACCATGTGTGGGTTCACTAGCCGGTCCCCACACATCTGAGTAAAGATATTCAAGGATATCTTTTGAAAAAATCCTACTTTCAGTAGGTTTTTGAGGAAAAGTAACTCTATGATGCGTTCCATATATGCAATTGTCACAAAATGGCACATTTGAGAAATTTACAGCACCTAAACAACCAGTTTTATGCAAAATCTCCAATCCTCTATTACTCAAATGACCTAATCTCCTATGCCACAACTCAGTGCTGTCATGGACAACATTCACACAAGCATCAGATTCACAAATAGGCACAACAGACACAATATAGAGATTATTTCTCAAATCAGCCTTGAAAACTACTAAACAACCCTTAGTTATTTTCATAAAATCCATTCCCCATTTTCCTTCTAGTCCTAAAGAAGACAAACCAACACAAGAAAGCAAGTTATTTGACAGATTAGGAACATGTCTCACATTGCACAGCTTTAAAACATTTTCAGATTTAAATTTCAGCACAACAGTCCCTATTCCTTTAACACTGCAAACCCTATTATCAGCCATAGTCACATTACAGTTTAAAAGGGTTTTATAATCACTGAAAAATTCCTTAAAAGGGGTCATGTGATAGGTGCAAGCTGAATCTAATCATCATTCATTCTTATTAAAAACAATCACATTGGAACATTCAGCAATAACAGCAAACACTTCACCTAAGCCATCACCATGAGAAATCAAATTTACTTGTTCATTTGAATAAGTATTAATAGGGACTGTTCCATTTCTAAAGTTATTGTTGTTGTTATTCAAGTTTCTATTCTTCTTAGGACAATTCCTAATGAAATGTGAAGTGTCACCACAATTAAAACACCGTTTAACATACTTTGAAGGGGTTTGAGATCTATTCCTAGACTTACTTCTAGACTTCTTCTTATGTTGACTATTGTAGGAGTTATTCCATTGCTTATTGTTATTGGAAAAAGAGCCATTCTTATTCGGTCTAAAGGGAGATCTACCCCTAACATGCATCACCTCACCATGTGACTGTTTATTAGCTTTACTTAGTTTCAAATCCACTTCTTTACTTTTTAGACCATTTACCACAACATCTAGAGTAATCACATCCCTACCATATTTTATAGCTGATTTTACATCTGAATATGTACTAGGGATTGCATTTAACATGACAATAGAGCTGTAATCATCTATGTTTTTATCCCCTGTAAGTTTTATATCTTGAATTAACTTTGAAAAAACATCTAAATTTTCATCCATTGTCTTTGAAAGGTTTAATTTGAAACTAAAGAATTGCTCTAACAAATGTATCCTATTTGGAAGTGAAGTTTCAGTATACATGTTATTTAATTTGTCCCACAAATCCTCAGCTGAACCATAAGTTCCTATTTTTCTAATTACATGGTCAGCTAGGTTTAAAATAATGCACGAAGAAGCAAGTTCATCAAGCTCAAACCTTTCTTCAAGAGAAAGGTCTGTTGCTTGATCAGGTTCAACGGCTTTTATCAATCTTTGAGTTACAAGAACACTTCTCATCTTTTGTTTCCAAATTGCAAAATCAGATTTTCCATCAAAAGGCTGTATATTAAAGAATGCTTGACTAGCCATGATTTTTAAAATGAAGAGAAAAACAATCTGTTTTAGGTAAAAACACAAGAACTGACCAAATTTCACAAGAAAAACTACTGGTCCTAAGAACAGATTCACTGAATCACTTAAAAAACAGATTTATGGTTTATAAAATCTCAACAAAAAAAGATCCACCAGATAGGAATGCACCAAGAACAGAGAAAACTGAATATTAACTAATCCAAGGGTTAGTTTCTTGAGAAAACTAACTTAGGAGCAGTTAATATTTCATAACACACAATCAGCTTTGCACAAACTGCTCTAACTAACACTCTAACTGTCACAACAACCTCAAACAGCCACACTTATCACAGAAACAACCACTTAGCAAACTAAACTTTTCACACTTAGCCACCCCAAGACTGAAATCTCACAAAAATATGTAACAGGGTTAGGAATGTTACCCACTCCAAGCTCCGCAACTATTCTTTGACTTTCTTTTCGTAATTGAAGGCCTCCAACCTGTAAAATCCTTCCAACTGCGCACTTAATACACAGATTAGTAAAGTTTGGATGAATCAATCAACAAGGAACTACCCAAATCAACCAAATAAGGATGATTTCAAGTCCTAATCTCCTACATGGCCTATCTTAGTCCTTATCAAGGGGATCTAAACTTTTCAGAAGTGAAAAAACACCTTAAAAAATTAGTTTTCACTTCGATAGAACAGTAAACAACCAAGATTTCGAAAAACTTGAAATTATTTACACAAAACCTTCGGATTTTACAGAGAGAACTAGGTGTTCACTCCAGGAACTCGAAAATCACGATTCCAGTAAACTAACAAGCCCTAACCAGCTCTGATACCACTTGTAATCAAAATTAAGGACCTAATACTTGTAGTTTACAACTAATCGAACACATATGAAACAAGAAACATCGAATCTTTTATATACTTTCTTAATCGAAGGAGTTCGGACTTAGTTTACCTAATATTCCAACCGACTAGCAACACTTACACACAACCTCGACCCAAACACTACCGACATCCACAGAAACGCACAATCAGCGCGATTAACAACCTACTCGAAAGAAATCTCAAGATTCTAAGCCTAAACCATCGCGGACAATCAATTACACCACGAACAGCTCATAAACACAGAATCGAGAAATCAAAAGAAGAACAGCTTTAGAACAAGCTGTTATACAACCACGGTGGATGAATTTCAAGTTCCGATGGCCAAACTCGCCGGAATGCCAAGGACAGGTCGATCTCGTTCGTCGGGAAAGCTAGAGCTCCAGAGAGTGAATATCGCGATGTGAAGGAGTGAGAATAGTCTGTCCAGTGAACCGGGAAGCAGTGTATATATATAAGACCCCTTGGACCGGTTTGAGGGCGGTCCAGGGCGGTTCAGGCCAACCGAACCCATCATCCAATTCATCACTCAATCGGGTCGAACCGCGGGCACGGGATCCGGATTTCGATAGGTTGGGTCAGGTCGAAGAGTGAAATGCACAAAACATCACAGTATAAATATATATTAATTTGTATAATTTAATTATAAATTTATATTATATCTATATATATTTCTAAATTTTATTTATCTGTATTATAAAAAAATTTACTTTTTACAAAATAATATATATTATATATATTTTATTAAATTATACATATTATAAAAATTTTAATTTACATTTATAATTTAAATTAAAAAAAAAAACATGTCAGGCGCCTACCCCGCAAACCGACAGCCTAAGTTTGGGCTGGCCTGAGCGTGAGAAACACACCCTAAAATTTCATAATTCTAATTTTATGATTAAATAATACAAATAATGTAATTATTTTTAAGGCATCAACATGGCGGTGAATTTTCTATCCTTGCTGTTACCAAAAAAAAAAAAAAAAAAAAAAAGCAATTTCAATTTATAATAAATAGTTTTTACATATTTTTTTAATATATACCTTTGACATTATTTATATTTACAAAAATATTATAACTATTTATACAATTTATTTATTATAAAAATTATTTTATCTCGTTGATTTACTCATATACTTGATCACAATCAATCAATAAAGTAATATATTTATTAAAAGTAATGTCCAATTCAAATGAAAATATAATTTGTGGACATAACGAGCATATTTTATTTAAATATATTTAAAACACTTAAACAACATTTTAAATTTATTTTAGTTATATATTTAATAATAACTAACCACCAATTAGATAAATTTCATCCAATCAAACTTCTAACCATATTTGCAACTATTAACCAAACAAATAATTATGGATAAAATAATTAATTAGCTTGATTAAAATTAAAAAAATATTTTATAAAATTTAAAATACTATTATAGTGTATAATTACTTAAAAAAAAAAAAGAGACAAAAGATGTGGAATGGACCGAAATAATAAAAGTAAACATTAGATAAATTAGTATTTATTTTATTTCATGACCTGAAAATCTGAAACCGCTATTTTTCAAGCATGCTTTGCTAAATTTTTGGATCCAACTTAATTACCTGCAAATTAAATCTGAAAGAAAAAATAAAAATTAAACCCATAATCTTACATTTAATTTTGATAGCGCATGCAATGCAGGTAGGTGAAGAACTAAGCATTCCATCGTACGTGTACTACACTGCTGGAGCATTCAGTCTTGGCGTGTATTACGACATCGTTTCACTCAAATTCGAACAAAATCAGGACCTGGCACAGTACAAGGATTCCGACACACAAGTCTCCTCGCGATGCGCCTCACAGCCTCTCCCCGCCAAAGTACTTACTCGCATCTTCGTCAACGGCAGCCCTCTCGGAGATATCTTCCTCCAATACTTCCGGAAGTTCGCCTCTGCCAAAGGAGTTCTCATCAACACCTTCTACGAACTCGAATCCTACGCCGTCGATTCTCTGTCCGCTCATTACAAAAGCTACCCAAAGGTTTACCCGATCGGACCCATTCTGAAGGACAATCAGGGCTCCGGCGATCCGTCGGTAGACGATTTGATGACGTGGCTAGACGATCAGCCGGAGGAGTCGGTGGTGTTTCTGTGCTTCGGGACGATGGGGGCGTTCGAAGGAGCTCAGGTTCGGGAATTCGCCGAGGCTCTGGAAGGTTCCGGAAGTAGGTTCGTGTGGTCGTTGCGGAAGCCGACCTCGTCGTTGCTTCCGGGCGAGTACGGCGACTACGGCGAGGTTCTGCCGGAGGGTTTTCTGGAGCGGACGGCGGGGGTGGGGCGGGTTATCGGGTGGGCGCCGCAGGTGGCGGTGCTGGCGCACAGGGCGGTGGGGGGATTCGTGTCGCACTGCGGGTGGAACTCGGTGCTGGAGAGCGTGTGGCACGGTGTTCCGGTGGCGGCGCTGCCGCTGTACGGAGAGCAGCAGATAAATGCATTCGAGCTGGTGAGGGAGTTGGGGATGGCGGAGGAGATAAGGATTGATTACAGGATAGATATCGCTGGCCAGGAGAAGGCGGAGATTGTCCCGGCGGGGGATATCGAGGCGGCGATCCGGCGGTTGATGGCGGCGGGCGGCGGCGCGAGGGGGAAAGTGAAGGAGATGCAGAGGAAGAGCCGAGAGGTTTTGAAGGAAGGCGGGTCGTCGTACGCTTCGCAAGTGGAGTTTTTCCAGGATGTGTTGAGAAACGTCGGATTGGAATAATGATTTGAATTATGACCGTTGGATTTGAGTCTTGCATTTACTGGATTTTACACCCTTATAATTTTAGGCATGTGCTCACGTAATTTGTGTTTGTGTTTGGTCCTGTTTTTAAATTCTTATGCTACCATATCTATTGGCAAAAACTTATGGTTATGTATTCTTTAGAGTTTTGAATTTTATGGAATTTTTGTTATTAATTATTATGGATTGTCAAAATGTTAAAGAGAAATTATGATTGTGTTTGCTTTGTATCTAGGCCAGAAAACTCAAGTGATCCGAAATGCTTTGTATGTGGCGGAGTTGGTCATGTGAAAGTGGAATGTGCAACATTCAAGAAGAAAAGAAAGCATGCATTTCAAGCTACCTGGAGTGATGAAGAAGACAGTCAAGAATATGAAGATGAAAGTGATAATGAAAGCGTTGTTGTCTTTGTTGCCAAAGAAGGAGAATCTAGCAAAGGAAAAGAAAGTATTCCTGAAGAAGAATGTAACAACAACGACACAATCAAAATGGATATCTATGAGCTAATGGAAGCTTATGAAGAAGTTGTAACTGAACATAAAATTTGTGTTAAAAGAAACAAGGATTTGATCAACACAGTTTACCGTTTGGAAGCTCGAGTTGAAAAAGTTGAGAAAGTGAATCAAGAAATGTTTGAAATCAATGCAGGACTTCAGAAGGACGTCAAGCAGTTGAAAATGAAGTGTGATGATCTGAGAGAAGAAAATGATAGACTCAGAAAAGGAAAAGACAAACTCGATGAAGTTTTATTGATTGGAAAGCCATTTGGAGATCATTGTGGGATTGGTTATCAAGAATCCATGAAGGTGAATCCAACTACTTTTGTGAAAGGAGGTTTGCTTACTGATGTAAAGATTCCAGAGAAACCTGCAAAAGAAAAGAACATTGAAGGTCCCAAAGAAAACATAAATAAGAGACAAAATCAAAACCGCAGAAGGAACAGACGTGTCAATACGTCGTTACAACAGAAGAGTAACTGCAAGTACTATTTTCGATTTGGTCATACTAAATCTCACTGTTTCAAGCTGGCTAGGGATTTGATGTCTGGAAAGAAGGTTAATTGGCCCTCAGATGAGCTGAAACAAATGGTGAATTTCAGAATGGAATGGAGACCTAAAGAATCAATCTAAGATGATGTGCTATGTCATCCTATCTAGTCAATAAGCTACAAAATCATCCCGATGGTATTTCGACAGTGGATGTTCACGCCATATAACGAATCAGAAGCATCTATTGAAGAACTATGTAGCTGACACTTGTGGAGAAGTGATATTTGGAGTTTGAGCCAAAGGAAAAATTGTGGGCTATGGTTCTCTCGAAGCCAAAGGTATACCGAAGCTGACGAAAGTATATTTTGTTGAAGGCTTGAGTACTAATCTCATTAGTATCAGTCAGTTATGTGATGATTAGCTGTTAGTGAAGTTCACTAAGGATGCTTGTGAGGTTTACAACAACAAGAAAGAGTGCGTGATGACTGGAAAAAGGTCAAGGAACAACTGCTACTTACTTGACAAACCAGCGGATGTTACATTGATCTCAAAGGATGATGAAGCCCTTCTATGGCATACAAGACTTGGCCATGTCAACCAACAGAGCTTGATGAAGTTGAGCAAGCAAGGAATTATCAGAGGACTTCCAAAGTTTTAGAAGTTACTTAACTTCGTTTGTGGTGATTGTGCTCGAGGAAAGTAGAAGCGTGTCTCCCATCTGCAGTCGGAACATCAAAGCAGCAACACTTGTCTTGATTTTCTGCACATGGATTTAATGGGTCCAGTGGATACACCCAGTCTTAGAGGTAAAAAGTACATACTTGTTTGCATTGATGATTTCTCGAGATATACATGCGTTGATTTTATAAAGGAGAAAAGAGATACATTTGATATCTTTAAAAAATTGTGCAAAAGACTGATGAATGAAAAGAGATCAAAGGTTAATTGAATTCGTATAGATCATGGTAAGGAGTTTGAGAATCAAAATTTTGATGGTTTTTGTTTTGATCTTGGAATACTGCATGAGTGTTCAGCCCAGGAGACCCCACAACAAAATGAAGTCTTCGAAAGGAAGAATCGAACACTTCGAGAAATGGCTCGATCAATGATGCAAGCAAAAGGTGTTGCGAAGTACTTTTGGGCTGAGGCGATCAACACTGCGTGTTATGTGATCAACGGAGTATATTTGAGACCCCACACTGAGATCACACCGTACGAGCTATGGAAAGAAAGAAAGCCGAATGTGTCATAATTTCACACATTTGGATGTCGATGTTATATTTTGAAGAATATGAGTCATCTTCAGAAATTTGATGCAAGATCAGATGAAGGAATATTCATTGGTTATTCCCATAACAGCAAAGCTTATCGCGTTTACAACAAGAGGATGAAGAAAGTTATGGAATCGATGAATGTAACTTTTGATGACTCTCGTGTGGAAAAGGAGATCAATCAATCAACAGGTTGATGAAGACTTGATGCCTCTTCCTACTGTTCAGAATCAAAATACTTTACTTGAGGTTCAGAACCCTTTACCCCAAATTCCAGAAACAACTCGTGATGAGAGTTCGATGTTGTTCGATTGGAGTGAAGCAGATAAATCTACTGAAGTTACCACTGCTGCAGAACAACCTGGAGAATGTTAGTCTGAAGTTGAAGTAAAGAGATATGGTTCAAGAATTCCTAAGAACCATCTTATTGATGCTGTCATTGGAGATCCGCAAGAAGGTCGTCGAACGAGAGGAAAGCAAATTGATTTTAGAGAATTTGCTGGTATGAATTGCTTTGTGTCTACCATTGAGCCAAAGAACATTGAAGAAGCGCTGAAAGATGAACTGGATCAGTGCCATGCAAGATGAGTTGAATCAGTTTGAAAGGAACAAAGTCTGGACGTTGGTAGAACGACCAGATGACATCAATGTGATTGGAACAAAGTGGATATTCAAGAACAAATCTGATGAGAAAGGGAATATCACAAGGAACAAAACTCGGCTAGTTGCACAGGGATACACTCAGATTGAAGGAGTTGATTATGATGAAACGTTTGCCCCCATTGCAAGAATTGTATCCGTGAGGTTATTATTCTCAATCTCATGCTCGCTTGGATTTTCTCTATTTCAAATGGATGTCAAAATTGCATTTTTGAATGATTGGATCAAAGAAGAAATATACGTGGAGCAGCCTAAAGGATTTGAAGATCCATTTTATCCAAATCATGTCTACCGATTGAGGAAAGCTTTGTATGGATTGAAGCAAGCACCCCGTGCTTGGTATGATCGATTGTCTATCTTTTTTATTGGAAACGAATATACCAGAGGATCCACAGATAAGATGTTATTCATCAAACATAAAAGTACTGATGTTATGATTGCTCAAGTTTATATCGATGATATTGTCTTTGGATCAACGGAAAAGAAGTTGAAGGATGAATTTGTAGAGTTCATGCATTCAGAATTCGAGATGAGTATGGAGAGCTGACATATTTCCTTGGATTACAAATTAAGCAATGTCCTGATGGGATATTTCTGAACCAAATGAAGTATGCAAAGAATATGGTTGAGAAGTTTGGTATGAAGAGTTCTAAGACTGTTAGAACACCGTTGGAACAACAGGACAAGCTGTCTAAAGATGCTGAAGGAAAGAATGTCGATCAAAAGTTATGTATGAGCATTATCGGAAGTCTGTTGTATCTTACAACTAGCAGACCCGATATCACATTTAGCGTTGGTGTTTGTGCTCATTTCAATCAACTCCAAAAGAATCTCATTTTAAAGCCGCAAAGAGAATTTTGAGGTATATTAATGGAACATCCGAACTTGGATTATGGTATTATAAGAGATCATCACTTGATCTAATTGGATTTACTGATTCCGATTGGGCCGGATGCTGTGATGACCTGAAGAGTACGACGGAAAGATGTTTTTACATTGGTGACAATTTGATCAGTTGGAGTTCCAAGAAGCAAAGTTCGATTGCTTTGTCTACTGCTGAGGCGAAGTATGTAGCCGCTGGAAGTTGTTGTGCGTAATTGTTATGGATCAAGAAAATGTTGAAGGATTATGGAATTGAGAAGGAGTCGTTTGTACTATGGTGTGACAACACCAGTGCAATCAACATATCGAATAATCCAGTTCAACATGGTCGAACGAAGCACATAGAAATTCGATATCATTTTATCCGAACGCTTGTGGAAGCTGAAGTGTGCAAATTGCAGCACATTGGAACTGATTTTCAAAAGGCAGACATCTTCACCAAAGCATTGGATTCAGAGAGATTTGAGAATTTGAGAAGAAAATTAGGTATGTGTTCATACCTTAACTAGTGCGGATTATTGAAGGAATTAAGTCCAATATTCATGGGATTTTATTTGGATATATTTTGGAATATTGGATAAATATAAAGAAAGGAGAAATACGTTGCGTAATATTATTGGAAGGGAAATTTATAGCCTTTTTAGGGTTACAGAGTCTGCTGCCTTGGGCAGTGTCCCGACGTCGAAACGTCGCTCTGACAACCCACGCGCCTGGATTGATGGGAATTAATGGAGGTTTCGTGTGAAAGGTTTTTGATTCCTCTGTATCTATATATCTTTAGATCAGAGTGCACATACATAACTCATCCTTTCTCTCCAAACCCTATTTCAACTTGTGAAAGAGTTTTTCTCTCAAAATCTCCAACCATGGTGAAAAATCGTTCCGGTGGAGTTGCGAAGGATGTTAAGCCAAAATCTGTTTCAAAGAGGAAATTTGGAACTACAACGAAAGGAAAGAAGCTGCCTAAACGTTTTTCCCTTATTCTTGAAACCGTTCATGAACATGTGATGGAAGAATTTGATCGTGATGTTGATATTCCAGCAACTGATGTAGCCCATGATGAGGGAACTGCTGTCTCAACTGCTGAAGATCGTTTCATTTCTGAAGGACTTGAAGGTCATCTAGTGAAACATGTTGTTGTGCATGAAATCGATCTAAACGAAGTTGCACCCATGGAAACCGCAAATGAGGATGAAGTCGTTGTTGAAATGGTTGGCGCACAAAAAGAAAATTCTGAAGAGAACCTTGTTGATGTTCAAGAAGTTGAAACTGTTACTGGTGGTGTTGCAGATGTTGCTACAACCATAA